ACAAAATGTCCCCCCACACAAACACACACACACACACACACACACACACACACACACACACACTCTCTCTCACACCAGTTTACTTAGCTTTAAATATGTTTCAATTAGTAAAAGCTAAACCAAACAGCTTTTGAATTTTTAGAACCACAACATGATTTGGTTTATATATTAATCATTTCTCCAAATGAGAACCCTGAAGGGAAGTTTTGTCAGACTTAGCTCAATTTTTCCCCAAAGTATAGCTAAATAAACACATACAGGCACATACCCTTGAAAGCCATGCCAAAATACAGATCCAAAATGCTGCCTGATCAAATGACTAATTATTAATAGGCATTTACTTCTCTAGTTTTTTCCTTCCCACCATCCTCCTCTCTTTCTCTTTCACTGTCATTCCCCCTTTCCCCTGCAAGTTTAAGGTTTCACGCTGTAACTTTATTCTGAAGAGCTTCAGCGAGAATTTGTGGCTAAGTGCCTGGTCAACACACATACACACAGGGCAACAGGCAGTGGAAAATATTTATTCATGAGCAGAACAGAAAAGACTGTGTCGTCCCTGGCGCATCTCTAAATGAGGGATGAACAACCAATACATTCTGTCTTTCTTCCACTGCTTGTACTTTTCTTTTCACCTATCTGTCACCTTAACAGGCGTCACACAACTAGACAAAGATTTTGGACTTGTATCATGATTTCACTGATTTCACAATAGGCTCCAGCATCCATGCAATCCTATGTATGACAAGCAGATTAGAAAACAGATGAATGTATAGAAAAACAATTAATAAAATATCAAAACAAGTGCCATGTGCAATCAAACAATATTTTTGTCAGAACTAAATTATTAACTCTTTAATACTAAACTAACCAAATAGTCTCGATGGCATTTTGGTGGATTTAATCCCACATTAAATTAAGATAAAAATACTTTGATATTTTATAGTTGTTAAACTTAGTTTAATATGCCCATAATTATATATATATATATATTTATATATATCATATTTTTAGTTTGATAAATGAAAAGTATGCTTATGCTCTTTTTTTTTTATCTAATGCAATGACACACTAGTATTCAAAAGTTTGGGGTCTCTTATGCTTACTAAGGCTGCATTCATTTGATGAAAAATACAGCAATATTGTGAATTATTATTACAATTTAAAATATTTGTTTCTATTTTAATATATACTAAAATGTAATTTATTCCTGTGATGGCAAAGCTGAATTTTCAGCAGCCATTACTCTAGTCTCCAGTGTCACATGATTCTTCAGAAATCTTCTCATATACTGATTTGCTGCTGAAGAAACATTTCTTATTTTTATATAAATGTTGAAAACAGTTGTGCTGCTTAATATTTTGGCACATATCATGATCGATTTTTTTCATGATTTTTTGATGAATAGAAAGTTCCAAAGAACAGCATTTATTTGAAATAGAGATTTAAAATAGAGACTCTCACTTTTCAACCAGTTTATGCAATTTGTGCAAGTACATTTTTTTTTCAAAAAGGGAAAAAAACTTGCTGACCCCAAACACTTTTGAACAGTAGTGTATACACATTTGAAAGTGTGGCTTAAGTGTTCAGATACTAGTTGGGGCTGCTGGATGTTGAAAAGAGAGCTCGAAAGATCGAGAGGGGCTGGGAAGTAATACAATAACTTTTTTTTTTGTCTTGTGAGGGTGGCTCGTAAAGCATGTCACATAAGCCCTCCAGTATTTAACCTGCCAACGCACACACACAGACAAGCACACAAACCCACACAGAAATACTTCATCATTCACAGAAAGAGAGATGCTGTCACATAGATCAGATTAGAAAAACACATTGAACAGAAGCACCCCAGGTATGGCATGTTTAATATAATATGTAAAAGTGCCGAGTGTTTGTTTTCACATGCACTCACATGCGCTCGCACACACACACACACACACACACACACACACATACACTGCCGCCTCCTGGGTCACTGGGTTTAATCTCCACTCTTTCTCATCTCGCTAGCGATGATGAGATGCTGCAAGGCCATTTATCCCTCTGGAGGTTTAAAACCCTGCGTACGCTTCAGTATGTGCGTGTCTGACTGTTTGTTTGTGTGAGTTTGTGCGGATGAGAAAATGTAGCCTTCCTGTTCCCTTTTAAATAAAAAACAAAAATGCACACAAAAACACAAACAAGACTTTTTTTAGAGAGAGCGTGGACAGTAATTACGGAGGGAGGTGTAAAGATGGTGAGCATGCAGAAAGGAATAAGGGATGAGCAATGCTGACGCACATGTTGAGGTAAGTTTGAACATCTGTACGTCACTCCTTAAGCCCTTCAGTCACTGCATATTCAAACCAGAAAGAGGAAGAGAGCAAACTGAGAAAAAGAGATAGAAAGAGGGAGAGGAACAGACAGAAATAGAGATAAAACGCTGAATGGGGGAGAACGAAGACGGCTGAAAGTTTAAAAGAGCTGCAAAGAAATGAAGCGAGGGTTGAAAGAGAATGTAGAACAACACAGAAAAAGACGTGAAGACGCGAGGCTGAGCATCATTTTTCATTATAGGCATAGTTCAGGCAAAAAAGAAAATTCTGTTATTATTTGCTTACCCTCATGTCATTATAAACAGGTACTGTTTGCTGTTATTATGTGGAACATACAACGATGCTCCTGAACTGATGCCGTTTTGCTGTCATTTTTGAATTTGGGCATAGCTAGATGTGAGCTTTGGTTATAGTTAATAAATAAATGCAATTTATTCCTCTGAAGGCAAAGCTGAATTTTCAGTATCCATTACTCTAGTCTTTAGTGTCACATGATCCTTCAGAAATCATTCTAATATGCTGATTCGCTGCTCAAGAAACATTACTTATTATCAGTGTTGAAAACAGTTGTGCTATGTAATATTATTGTGGAAACTGATGATTTTTTTTTTATTCTTTAATGAAAATAGTTCAAAATTGTAAAAGTTCAATTTAAATATCTTACTGATCCCAAATCATTTAAATATACAATGTACAGTGTAAATGCAAAAATTTCAATCACATAAAGTTGTCAGAATCATTTAAATAACTTAAGCAAGTATGCTGTTTTTTACCCCTTTTTGAAGCACCCCAATCACAACGAACTGTCAATGTCTTGCAAGAGCTGCGGTTCCCCCAGAAATGTCTAGTTTGTGCACCACTAAAAAACAACAGCTGATTTGGAGGGGCATGAGGGTGCTATCCAGATTTTTTTGCTGATCTATCCCTTTGACAGGTTGACACTCTGAACAGTTACACACTGTGCAAACAGCCAGAGTTCTGAGAAAACAGCAGCTTCTGTGTGTGAGACGGTCACATTCGGACTGGAGCGCTGGGGAGAGACAGGTTGATTTAGTTAATTGAATGTATGGGATTGTTACATAATTTAGCCTGAGGCCCAGTCTGTTCTTTTAGCTCCCAACAAGTTTAAACCAGTCTTCAAGGGCTACACTCACAGAACACAATCTGTCTTACAAATCCAACTTGGCTTATTGATCTACTGTAGCTGCATGAATGTGCATGCGTTAGATTATTGTGGCTTTGATTGGTATAATTAAGATTATGATAACATTCAATAATTCATTACATTTCTAAAATGTAATCTAGTCTACAATATTTAACAATTTACAAAAACAAACAATATATACATCAAAATTGTTTAAAAATGTACTTATAAAAATGGTAATTTTATACAAGAGATAAAGCGTAAATAAATAAAATGTATTTTTAAAAATATTACAGCATAAATCTATTATTATTATTATTATTATATATTTTATTTTTCAATTATTATTATTATTATTATTTCTCACACACACACACACACACACACACACACGCTAAACTCCAGACTGTGGGAAAAATGATTCATTAGCAGACTTTAATCAGTTTTGTTTCCCATAGGCCCAGTAAGCTCTTTACACACTAGCCTAGTTAAAAGTGGAATTGA